CCCTTCATTTAGCCAAGATATTTTCGCCTTTTGTCGAGCCAATTCCACCTGATGACTCCTAGCTTCTTGATAAGCTAATAAGAGATGAGCGATGTCCTCCTTTAGCAAATCATTAAACGGATCAAGATCACAAGCCAACTGCGCAATATCAAGCTCAGTCTTTAGTTGTGCAACCCTTTTATCTAAACAACCATACGAATTGCGGAGACGACGACAAACCACCTTAAGATCTTTTAAAAAGTTAAGTGGTTGAATGAGGAGGATTTGAATACTAAATATTTCCATCATGTGATTAAAGAACGGCATCATTCCAATTCCATTCAATCGGTCTGCAGTAGTACTGGTGAGTTTGTTCATGGTGATGATGTTCCTAATATTTTTGTTGACTATTTTCGAGATTTTCTTGGCCTTAGGTATGAGTCTCCTGACCCGATTATGCCTGAGGACTTATTTACGTGAAAGCTTTCTCTCTTGGATGCTAATCATATGATTCGGCCGATTCTTTCTGAAGAAATAAAAAATGCTATGTTTAGTATTGGTAATCATAAAGCTCCTGGGTCGGATGGGTTTTCTTCGCGGTTTTTCAAAGCTCCTTGGGATGTTGTTGGGCGAGATGTGGAGATTGCAATTCACAATTTCTTTTATCGAGGTAACCTCCCGAAGGAATTGAATCATACGCTTATCTGTCTTATTCCTAAAACTGTTAATGCTTCTAAGGTTACTGATTATCGACCTATAGCTTGCTGCAATGTACTTTATAAATGCATTAGTAAAGTCATTGTAAACAGAATGAAGGATTATTTGGATTCTCTAATAGAGAATGCCTAATCGGCCTTTATACCGGGTAGGAAGATTTCGGATAATATTCTTATGGCTCATGAGCTTGTTTCTGGGTATCAGACTTCGGTTGGTCCCCCTCGCTGTGCTCTCAAGATTGATATTAAAAAAGCCTATGATATGGTAGATTGGAGGTTTCTCATTATTATGATGCAGGGCTTGGGGTTTCACCCGGTTATGATTAAGTGGATTAGGGAAATGGTGTCCACTACTTCCTACTCGCTTGCGATTAGTGGTGAATCTTTTGGGTTTTTTCATGGTGGACGGGGTCTTAGGCAAGGTGATCCGTTATCTCCATATTTATTCACGATTATTATGGACGGATTTTCTATGCTCCTTAAGACTTGTATCAGGGAGGCTTCTGATTTTGAGTACCATTGCGGTTGTGAGGAGCTGGATATCACTCATCTATGTTTTGCTGATGATTTATTTGTTTTTACTAAAGGTGATGTTCATTCGGTGGAGGTGCTTAAAAAAGCTCTTTCTCTCTTTCAACAATGTTCAGGTTTGGAACCAAGCCTTGAAAAGAGTGAAATTTATTTTGGTAATGTGCCCCATTCTATTAGAGAGGCCATTCTGGTCTGCCTTCCATTTAAGCTTGGCTCTTTTCCGGTTCGTTATCTGGGAGTGCCATTATCTCATGCTCGTTTGAAAATTAGTGACTATAGACCTTTGCTTGCTAAGGTTAAAGGTCGTATTTTTAATTGGAAGGCTAAGTTTCTCTCGTTCGGAGGACGTAGGCAACTTATTATAGCGGTATTACAATCGCTTCAATTGCATTGGCTATCTGTTTTCCTATTTTTGTCGGGTGTAATTCATGATACTGAATCGATCTTTCGGAAATTTTTATGAGCACCAAGGGATGATCCTCGTGGGCGGTGTCGTTTATCGTGGGATGTGGTGTGTCGTCCTCTAGAATCGGGGGGTCTTGGTATTAAACGGTTGGCGATTTGGAACAGGGCTTTACTTGCTAAACATGTTTGGGATATTGTTCGTCATCATAATTCTTTGTGGGTTCGATGGATTTATAGTCATAATCTTAGAACCAATCACTTCTGGTTGGTGCGGAAAAATTCTAATTGGTCGTGTGTTTTCCGTAAACTATTAGACATAAGACTTCATGTGCGACAGTACTTTGTGCCTCAAATTGGTGATGGTACGGATACTAATGCTTGGGAAGATTATTGGCTTCCTTGTGGTCCTCTTTCGGCTTTTATGACTTATCGGTTCATCTATTCTTGTGGTCTTTCTCCTGCTACTACGGTTCGTGAGCTTGTCATGCATTTGAATGGAGTTTGGCCTGATGAATGGTGTGCCAGGTTTGATGTGCTTAATTCTTCTCCTTTGCCTTTATTAAATGATTCGCTTCGGGATCATGTTCTTTGGGGGGATGATTTTAATTCTTGTTCGAGATTTGAAGTTAGAAATGCTTGGGCATCGTTGGATGGTTCTTATCCGGTTGTACCTTGGTATAAATCGGTGTGGTTTTCTGGTCATATTCCTAAACCTGCTTTTTGTTTATGGCTTGCATGCCAGAGGCGTCTTCCTACTCAAGACCGTTTACTTTGGAAGGATGAAC